CTGGTATCAAAAGAATTTTCTGGTCTGTTTGAATTTGATCGTGAATAGTAGTTTCGATACTGATTGATTCGACTATTTGATCAACTATATCTATTTTGTGAGAAACTCCGTGATTTTCTATGATCTGGCGATCCGGTATCATTTGAATTAATGGGAAGTGGTTTTCCAGAGCTATTATTACTATGGATGTTTTTAATTGGTAAACTTTGGTCTGTTTTCATGTATTGATAAAATGATTTGTTTGGTTCTTTGCACCTTTGTGGTTTAGTTTGATTATCTTGCTGTTTTTGTCGACATTCGGCAATACTGTGTCCGTATCTTCGGCAATAGTTACACCATTTTTTTGAAAAATGGTTTATTTTTAAATTTTGGGTTTTTCTCGTTTTTGTTCAAAATTTCAGTGATTTTTTCTGATAAATCTACGTCTGAATCGTGATTGTTATTTATTTGTGTAGTATTTGTTTGGATTCTATTAACGTATTTTAGTTTAAGATTCTCTGTTTCTTCGAGTTTGATAGTGATTTAAGCTTTTTCTTAATTAACAACTAATTTTCGAAATTCTAAATCAGGTTCTCGAATTGAGGAGGGATTTAATGTTCTCTTTTTAATTGCTATTTTTCTTAATTGGGGTGTTAGAATCATCATTAAAAATTCTCTGTCATTTTTGTGTTTTTGTAGTCATGAGTGTTCAGAAAATGTGCTTTACGAACTAGTGTTTCGATACTTACTGCTAATTGTTTGATTGTTTCGTTTGGTAGTCTACGGATTTTGTTACATAAAATTCTTTGATTATGTTTGTTTCTTTCAGAATCAAGCATTTTTTTTAAAATCTTGTGTAAATCAATTCCAGTTTGATTTTATATCTATAGATAAAATTGAAAACCATTTTTGAGCTGCGCCATCAAGCGTAGTTTGTATTAACGCTGTGCGTCTATGTATCCAATTTTGATCAGATGGTACTTACTGGTTCAGGTCCTATATTTAAAAACAAATTTGCTCTGACTGCGTTTAAATAGTCTTCTACAGAATATTCAGGGTCTGTGCCTGTGAAAACCATTACTGGTTTGTTTGATGTTATTGACGATCCACCCATTAGGTATGGATTCATAGTCATTTGTAATGATTCTGTGGTATTTGGTATTTGTTTAAAATTTGTAAGTTGACTTTTTGTTAATTCATGTTGCGGTGAGTAATATGGTAGTGGGATTTCATTTCGCATTCGTACTGGTTGATAGGAATTTGTACTGTCGGGTTTTGTATGTGTACTGGTTGATAGGGTTGTGTCCTAGTTGGGTTTTGCATTTGTAATGGTTGATGAGTTTGTGTACTAGCTGAGTTTTGTGGGTAAAAACATGTTTTTTGAGATGCTAGATTTGGTCGATGTTATTGTACACGGTATTCTTGAGTTTATGGTGCAAAATTATCTGATTGATAGTAGTCATCATCGTCTGATGATAAATAATTAGATGTTTAATAAGATGTATGTTGTCTATTTCTGTTTTGTTGAAAAAATGGATAATTTTCACTTTCATCTTGTGAAAATTGTGGGTAGTCATGGAAAATTACTGATTTTGATGATGGTGGTGGAAGATTTGATTTTTGTGAGAATAAAGGATTTTGCGTGTTTGTACGGGAAGGTTGAGTTGTTTGTGGTCGGTTGAAATAATTATAGTTGTGTTCTGTAAAATTATTTCTAGTGAACGTTTTTCGTTTTTGTGATGGTTTTGTCATTGGTCTACATGTTTGATAATTCATGTGTGATTACTTTGTAAGAACGGAAGGTTTAACCGTGGATTGTAATGTTACTTGTGGTAAGTTTGGATTTTTAGTTCTTGGAGATGTGAGATTTGGATGTTTTGGTGAAATACTTTGTGGCTATTGTTTCAACTATTTCTTCATTCGCGAAATGTGATGGTGTTTGAATATCTTGTTGGGTAAAGTTTTTAGTTCCATTCAGGTTTTCCTGTTGTGTAATGAAAGAGTTTAAACTATTATTTCCTATTCTATTAGGTAGAAATGAGTTATAGTTTAAAGGTGTTGCGTCTACTGTGAGTGGAAATACTTTTACATGAACTTTGTGAATACAAATTGTGCGAATTGGTGGTTAATAGTGGATGAGACCATTTGAGGTCCCAAACATAATCTGATTGGTCTGCTAAGATAGTGTCATCGTTTGTATTTTGAGGTCGAAAGTTTTTTCTTGCTGGTGAAATTAAATCTATATTATGTGTGAAATATTCAAATATAAACCATGCTAACATTTTTTGTAGATCATGTTCAACATTTTGTGAGACTTCATTGCTTGATAAATTTTCACGGATTGCATTTAAAAATTCTGAAAAAAGTGCAATTTCATTTCTTACAGTCGCTCTCGGTGAATTTTGGTGTTGTATATTTTTAATGTATTCTGTGAATACTTTTGAAAATTCTTTGTCGATGTCATCTGTTTGAATGTGATACTTACCATAAAATTTACTTGGTGTACTAATTTCGATGGCATAAATTCTATACTGTTGTGTTAGATTACATATTCTTTTTAAATAGTGATCGATAATTTGTCTTCTGTTTTTACTTTTGGAAATTCTGTTTTTTATGGACTATTTCCTCTTTCAGATAAATTTGCAATCAAATTTTGGCAAAATTGCATTTGTCCTCTATCATCAGTTAGTGAATTGATGAGAAATGGAAAAACGGAGTTTTCGTCATGACTTTCTTCACTTTGGTCCATTTCTGCGTTTTATTACTGTCAACGCATAGTGTTCAGTGTGTTTGATTGGTTGATTCCAATTGTCTAGACGTACTGCTTTGTTTTTGTATGCCTTTTTTATTCTTCGTTTTCCTTGTATTTATGCATGTGATGTAGTTTCTGGGTCAGAAAAATGTAATTGATCATTGACTGGATAGTTTTTATTTACGGAGTCTTTTAATAAATAAAGTTTATCTAAGTTACTGATTTCTGATTCGGAGACCGCGTTTCTTCGTTTTGAAAGTCTTTTTCGTGTGATTTGTCTTTACTTACTTGAAATTTTTCGTTTTATTGTTTGTCGTTTTGTTCGAATATATCCTATTGTTTGTTTGTGTGGAGTGATTACTAGATCATATTTTTCGTTGTTTATTTCACAGTTGTGTTATACGATTGTTTGTTTATTTCCTAAATTGTCAAGTGACATAAGGTTAAGGATGATGGGTGCCAATTTGTGATTAGTGATTTTTAATTTTCTAAACTGTTAGTTTTTAGTTTTTTTGTGGTTAGCCCAACTTGGGTCGTGTATTCAGGGTTGGAGAGAAAAGCATATATCGATTCCGGAGAATGATTGATACTTTCTCGTGGCTAGTCTAAGTTAAGGTGTTAACTTACTTAATCTTATTTAGGGCAGTAATTGTGTTCAAGGGTTGGAGAATAGTAAATCGATCCACAAGGTTCAGGTATATTTATAACGCAAGTAATTGGTTTGATACTATTTTGAACTTACTAAGTTTAAGTATTTAGCCTGGGTCAGATAAGAAGGGGGATCAAGTGAAGGATGAATAACAGAAGTTCTTCACGGTTTATCTTAATTAGAATGGTTAGATTGGTTGAAAAATTTCTATTAGTCCTGGGTCTAGGAAAGGTTTCGATTGTGAATCGACGTTTGAGGTCGTTAGACACTTTATTAATTTGGCTGGGGAGAACAAACTGTTCTATTCGATCCGAGGATAAGCCTTGATGATCAGGATATAAATATATTGATATCAAAATAATTAAGATAAATGTGAAATAGAGATCCAAGGAAAGCCTTGATGATCTGTTTTAAGTTTAAATGTATTTATTTCAAACAAAAGTATAAATTAGGGTAGGCCTTTAGAAATAATTTTAGTTTTTGATGATGATAGTGGTTGTATGATTTGCTGGTTTGATTAGGTGATCAAGCTGGAGATGACAAGATGATTTATATATACTAACAATTTGCGATCATTCTAACTAATTTTTATAATTTTATATTCAATAAATATTTTTCATCAAATATCTTTTTTAAGATTCACTGCAGTTTTGGAGGAAGCGACTATAGAAGTTTTTATCAATCGTTATTGTACAATAATAAGTTTAGCGCCTGTAATGATCATTGAAAAATTTTCTTCAAGGTTTCTATGTTTGCAAATGAAAATCTAAATCCATTGCTAATAAAGTTCTAAATATAAAAGTTTGTGTTGGCTTTTGCCTTACGACCATGAAACTTAATGGTAGGTTTCTTTGGAGTCGTATTACCGGTTGATTCTCGTATTGTTCGGAATGG